AATCTGCCAATTTTCTTTTATTTGGGTGAAAGTTACTGGAAAATACCCATATTTTGCTGACCTCTCCCCCCACCTCATGCTCCCTGGAAAAACCTGTGTCACTTTCCGTGCTGACTGTCAAGGGGATGGTGCCTCTGATCGAGGTGTTTAGCTCCTGGGTTGTCTTGCCTGGGAACCTGGATGCTACTGGCACAATCTCAATTAAACAGGGACAGCATAAAATATTACAGTGTCCTGTCTGGAGGTGACACATTGCACTAGAGCCACTGAAGTGCCATTGACTACAGACCCTGCTGAGAGCTGCCATTAACTGTCTGGCAGCAAGGTGGTATATCGAGGTTTGCCCTGACCTTCCCTTCTTCCTGCCCCTGGTACTTCAGCTAAGCAAGGAGATGTTTTTCCTACTCCTTCATCTGTCAAGTTTGTTTTTGAGGGAATGATATGGGATTATATCTTCTTTTTTGTCACTGTATGAAATGTGTACTACTGTAAGATACTGTTGCTGCAAGGGAGGAGAGTTCAGGGCCACGTGCGTAGGGGTGGGGACTTGGGAGCTCTTCTCTCCCTGGTGTTAATAAGACAATGAAATGGCAAAAACTATTGTCAAAGAACTTAGAGGAGCTTTTCTATATTGTCACAGATTCCCATGGGATCAATATATGGAAGTGTTGCGCGCTCGGTTTTATTGAGGGTCTTGTGTACTTGGTGAGCTTTTCTGAAAGATCTACAGCCAGCACTAACGCCGCTGCTTGGAAACCACCAGTTACACAATTTTTTTCTTTGGAAAATTTTGGCCCACTTGGTGTGAGAGAAAACGCTTGAAAAATACACCTCTAATGGCTCCAGCACTGATTGCTTGCAAAAAGAACCCGCATAGGCTTAAAAAAAAAAAAGTTATTTTCCCAATTTTAGGGAGTAGAGAGATTCATGAATTTTCAGTGCTTGGGTTGGTGCTGCGATTTGGGCCGACTGAGCAATCAGGCTAGTTACCCCTCGCCTCTGAATCGATGCTATGCTAGGCAGGAGAAATGACTAAGACCACAAAGGGAAAGAATTTCTTTTTTTAAAAAACAAAGTACACCCCCCCCCCCCTCACCACACAGACAACAAGCTCAGAAAAAAAGTGACTCCATTAATACCAGCTTGAGTGGCAGAGCAGGAAATCGGCTGAAAATGAACAAAGAGCCACGCGGCAGGGATGCTAACGCAAGCAAATGCTAATTCACACTTCGGCAGGCGGCGTGTGGCCGCTTCCTTTCCTGTTCAAACATTTTAGCCAGATAATGAGCGAAAAAACCAAACATTTTTCACATAATCAACTGAGTTTGGAAGGGAGAAGCAACAGAGGAAGGGGAGCTGTGATGCTAATTATTTGCTGGCTGATACGGCTGTCAATGAAGCAGCGTGGGACTGTGTGTGGGGGTGCGTTGCTAATTGCCAGCAGCGGCTGTAGCTCGGGTCGCTGCTCTTAGCCACTTGGCTGGCGGTGGAATCTGTTGTTAATGCACGGGCAACCTGGTTGCTTGCTGAAATGGAAGCCAAGACACGTTTGCCAACAGCTATTGGGGTAGGGAGGGTAACCGTTAGTAAACTGGGGTTTTATGTCAATATTGATTGGTGTTGCGATGGGGAAATGAAGTGTAGAAGGGCGCTAGTGGCTGTCTGGTCCAGAGCGGTGTGTTTATGTGAAGCAGATGGTTGACTGCTTTACTTTGCCAGCAGATTATGAAGTTGGCTTTGAACCATCTTGCGTGGTTTCCTGGGAATGCAGGGATCCCATCCGCAGCAGAACGTTGCTGCCTTGAGCACGTTACCTGGGGTCAGAGCTGGCAGCAGTGCTCTCACGTGGAAGGCGGCTGTGTGCTGGGGTGGTTCTCACCATCCGCAGTGTCCTGTGTGACCGAAGGTACACTGATGCTCCAGTGGCATTGAGAGGCTCCAGCCCTGGATGTCCCAGGGTATTTTGCAGGTGCCTTTTGCAGACTTACCTCCAGTGCTGAAAAAGCAACCTCATGCTGGGTATCCTGAACTGCTGTTTTGGGGTTCCTCTTGGAAGAGGATTGAAAGCTCTGAATCTTTATCGCTGTCAAACAGCTACTGAAGAAGAGATGGCATGGGGCTTTGCTTTTTTTTTTTTTTTTTTTTTTTTTTTTTTTTTTTTTTTTTTTTTTTTTTTTTTTTTTTTTTTTTTTTTTTTTTTTTTTTTTTTTTTTTTTTTTTTTTTTTTTTTTTTTTTTTTTTTTTTTTTTTTTTTTTTTTTTTTTTTTTTTTTTTTTTTTTTTTTTTTTTTTTTTTTTTTTTTTTTTTTTTTTTTTTTTTTTTTTTTTTTTTTTTTTTTTTTTTTTTTTTTTTTTTTTTTTTTTTTTTTTTTTTTTTTTTTTTTTTTTTTTTTTTTTTTTTTTTTTTTTTTTTTTTTTTTTTTTTTTTTTTTTTTTTTTTTTTTTTTTTTTTTTTTTTTTTTTTAAATATTGGATGCTGGAGCTAAACTCTGACCCAAGTAAATTAAACTTCTTTGCAGAGTCTTTAAGCCCAGATTAACCTTGACCCTGGCCTTCCCATCGCCCAAAGAACTATTGCTATTAAAAATGCAAATTTCATTTTCAGGCCTTCTGCTCTTGGAGTTGATGCCAGGCTGTACCAGCACCCATCTGAAATCAATGGCTCACCTTGGTGCTTGCTGTAATTCTCTAGCCAAGTGCTGCTGCTTTCACTGTCAGCACTGAGTAATGCTGCAAGATCTCCGTGGTCAGGACAGTGCTGTTTTATTCTCTCTGTTCTTCCCCTTATTTTTTGAAAGGCAGAGCTTTGTTCCCCTGTTTCACAGAGGTCCTGGATGCTTGGGTATCAAGGTTCAATGTGTTTTGGCAGCAATGGCTTGGCATAGCTTGGGTGATGGTCTAGTGCCAAGTGCTAGTTCTTGCTTCGTTAGAAATCTTCAGTTTAGTGGTGATGGAAAAGCATTCAAGTGATGCAGGAGAAAAGTCCAGGGTCTGGATATCTACATTGTCCCTCTATGGGCTGCAAAATTTGGGCTGAAAAACTAAATGATGTTTATTTTTCAGCTGAAACTTTTTATGCTTGCAGATTTGAGTCAACCAAAACTTTTCACTGAGGTTTGTCAACTTGTGAAATTACTTCAGCTGGGGCAACAAGAATTAAAACTAGATAATTTTTTTTTTTATTTTGCTTTTTTGGACATTACTTTAGGTGGAACCTTATTTCATTTTACTTTTAAAAAAACGTTCAAGCCCTTGAGCAAAATTCCCCTCCTAGTGCTTAAGTGTAACCCACGTGATTCAATTTACACCACCATTTTTCTGTTTGTGGGGAAAGTGGGCTGCCAGCAAACTGAACATTGGTTTTGATTTCTCTTTGTACAGACCACTGTCTGGAATGGGGCTGAACAAAAGTCGTTGTTCCCTTTGTAGGCAGCGAGACAAACATTTCTCTGTAACTTAAATACAAGTTACTTAAGGGCTGTGGATAGGAATAAATGGGTAAGGTTTTCAGTAACCCATATTTATACTATCACGTACAACTTCTAAACCTTCACAGGTATTGAAAAATTGGGAAGGGCAATCCAGGAATGTGGTCACTGAGAACGGGAGTTATTTGATACTACATGGTTACTGGAAATTATTGATTGAAAAAGTGCCGGCTTTTTAGGAAATGACATAAAAATAGACATTTTAGATGGATGGCAATGAAATCTGTATAAGCATGCTGCCTTCTCTGCAAATAACCTCTATGCCATATAGGAGTCTTCCAATAGGAGAATACAAAGATATTTAAATACTTTAAATTTCAACTTATGCTGGACGGTGCATTTACAGTGCATAATACTATTTTCTCTTTCCTCTCACTTTTTTTTTTAAAATCACTTGAGAGAAGGTGCTCTTTATGTTGTACAGAGGCTGGAACAGCAGCAGGAAAATGTGACTTTGAAATAATGGGATCTATAAGAATAGGCAATTGCGTTCAAGTGTAGTGATTTAGTACCCTGTTAGTGTCCTGATGTATAACTCTATTTCCAAAGACCGTAAGTTTCTTCACAAGCATAATGACAGGCGTAAAACTTGAGACTAATGCCACAGCTTTCTCTGTCCTCAGGTGTTCCACATTGTCATAGTTTCACCCCAGCCAGCAACTAAGCCCCACACAGCCTCTCGCTCACTTCCCCCTGGTGGGATGGGGGAGAGAGTCAGAAGAGTAAAGGTGAGAAAACTCATGGGTTGAGATAAAGACAGTTTAACAGGTAGAGGAAAATCCACGCACCCAAGCAAAGCAAAACAAGGAATTCATTCACTGCTTCCCATCGGCAGGCAGGTGTTCAGCCATCCCCAGGAAAGCAGGGCTCCATCACG